CTAACGAAAAATGTTCCTTGTAAAATTTTACTTGTAGGCGTTACATTATTCTAGTCCTAACCTTAACTTTAACGCGGGTTTCTTAACTTTAATTTTGCGCGTAACTTTTTACTTAGAAAACAAAACACGTTTGTTTTGACTATCACGTTACACTTGATCCTGAAATTCGATTGGTCGTTATTACAAGGGGTGGAAAAAATTTTGTGGGACAGCTACCTAAAATTCTAAAGTGGAAGCACTCATATTTCTTAATAATGTTCTTGATTAACTTTAGGGTTAGAGTCATTCTATATTACAGTTAGGAATTTTACCAAATATGAACAGCATTGATCACACCTTTTATGGTATAAAAATGCTGATTCAATGTTTCTAGATATTTCTGTCATGCTTAAATGATGTAATGTCACATGTTTATCAGCCAATCAAATTATGGTTTCAAAAAATAAAAAAATTATTACAGTCGCCCCTCCCAAAACCGATATGCATAGTGGACGGGTTTTGTATCAATTTTGGAAGGTTATCAGATTTGGCAATTTCACGTGAAAAGCAATTACATGTCGACCAATCAAATTGCGAGATTGAATATATGCAAAGAAAATTTCCTCCAACATAGATGCCACCAAAACTCAATATCGGGATTGAAAAAAATAATACTAGTAAACTATCTCCAACAAATTCAGTATGAATTTTTATTTAATAAGTGGGCTGTAGCTTCAGCGAATTTTGAGAAATTAGTGCAAAAATCATTTAGCAATTCCAAATGTAAAATTTTAATAAAATCGAAATTTTATTGCGTGGCATTTGTATATCGATATATTTTCCAGTTTATTAGAAACATATACAATTGGCACTATAGTTGTTTAATGATACCAATTCCATAATACACGGCAATTCAAGATCATCACAACCAAAATCCGGCAATTCACATTAAATAAACTTCTGAATTTGTACTTTTGTTATAATAACAACAACCCGAATGGTTAAATTTATTCTATGAATATCATCATTTAGCCATAGCCTTCTGCTACAGAACTAAGCTAGAACGGTAATAAAGAAATACGCGCATTTATTTGTGAGTGTAATACCAAAAATAATTTTGATCATTACATTATCTGTGATCCGAACAAGCTCTTTGCTTTTAGGACTAATATTACTCGCACAAATAGGTGTTTTAGTTAAATTGATTCTTTTCTGTATGCCATTCTATAAAATGCCATAATATTATGGGAGCTTGCGTCCAAGCCAGAATTAACAATTAATTTAGCTAATCATACACGAAAAAAACATCAGAAGGGGTTCTTTATTATATGTCGAGGCCGATGTTAGCATTATTATCGCATTTGTAAAATAACTAATAATAAACTAAATAAAAAAAACGTAGTTGACGTATAGCTATGTTCAATTGCTTCATATGTTCGATCAAAAAAAACAATCAAGTATATTAAAATGTCAACCTAAAAGTGTTATTACGCTCCTAGAATATTGAATGTCACAGATGTTGAAATCGGATGATGCTGAAATTTAAGGGTCTCGATTTGAAAATATAATCCCTATAAAAATCCACTTATACTCTTGCTAATAGCTCTGATCCCGAATCTTAACCTAATAAGAAAGTTTCAGCATCATTCGATTTCAGTATGCAACTGCGACATTGAGTAATTCTGTTGCATTAATCCATGATCCCAAAAAATGTAATTGCCGGTTTGGTTTGAATGTGGTCTAAAAAAACAAAAAATCAGACTAACATACTTTAAATATATAAATTAAATTTTAGCGTTAGAATTTTGAAAAAAATCAAATGTTTGAGACAAAAATATTCTTCAAAGAAAAAAAAAATGTTAATAAGTTAGTGATCAGTATATAAAATCTTGCAATAACGGGTGTGGGCGTTGCTCTAAAAATCAGATCTTTAACAACAGTGTATTTGATTCTAAGTAATGCCTATAAAAATTCATAAAAATTGTAAAACAATAAAGCAAAAAATAAATAAATATTTAAACTAGAAGTACAGTATTACTCACCATTAATAATTCTTGAGATAGCATTTTGCAATTTTCTTTAAAACTTGTTTATAATTATGGAGAAAAAAAAAGATAAGGTCGTCTTGGCTGGAAATTTGCGCAATGATCAAAGAAAGTTAATATGTGATTATTATGAAACCTATACCAATATTACCCAGAAGGAACTTGCAGAGTAGGCAAAAAATGAGTTCAATCTATTGAAAGCTCCAGCCCAAAGTACAATTTCAGATATTTTGAAGAGAAAGGAAGAGTTTAGTACAATGTCTGCTAGTGATCTTGGAGTTAAAAAACGTCGGGTTGTTATGTTTCCTGAATTAGATATTGCCTTGATGAATTGGGTTTTACAATGTGAAAATCGAGCTATACGCCTAAATGGAAATATGATTAAAGCCAAGAGCAAAAAATTAGCAAACTTAATAAAAATTCTAGAAAGTAACCAGCCAGAGTTCTCTAATGGATGATTGCAAGCTTTTCAGGAGAGACATAATCTTCATCACTTTAGACTGCATGGAGAAAGCAGTTCTGCTGACATTGAGGCTATCAAATTAAACCTTCCTAACATCATTTGTACAACTGACAACTATGCCCTACATGACATTTATAATATGGATGAGACAAGTTTGTTTTATACTATGGCTCCCGATCGTACTATCGCGTCTCGTCAAATTGAAGGATCAAAAAAAGATTGTACATGACTTACAGTTGTGTTTACTTCTAATGCTGATGGTACACACAAGCTTCAACCTTTCATTATTGGTCATGCAAAAAAACCTAGGTGTTTTAAAAAAAAAACTAGGAAGGAGCTTGGATTCTATTATTGTAACAATCAAAATGCCTGAATGACTGTTATATTTTTTCAGGTAATAATACGAATCAAAAAAAAAACAGTTAACTAGGTTGGAACTAACTGATTAAACTAAGTTTTTTTTTTTAAAAAAAATTTTTTTCGTGTTAAATACCACATTTGATACCTTGAATATGCTCAGCACATATAGAAAATAGACTTATGTTCAAAGTGATTTTTCTAGTTCATTCCCCAAATACATTTCATAGTATCGTATTGTCGCAAAATAATGCCCGGAGCATTATTTCGAGACAAAAATTTTAAAATGAGTTAAGAATTAAAATTAAAAAAAAAACTTTGGTAAAATTAATTAACTCATTTTAAAATTTTGTCTCGAAATAATACCTGGGCCGTTATTTCGCGACGATACAGTACAAATTAGTAAAATTATTAAATAAAATTATTTCATCATAATATTGTTACCAAACTGTTTCATTATTTTTAGGAATAGATTGAAAAATTAAACAAAGAAATGATAAAATTAAATCGTCATATCTTACTCGTCCTAAATGGTGCATCTTCACATGTTACTCGTACTCTTAATCTATCTAATATAAAGGTGCTTAAATTATCTCCACATGTAATATCAAAGATACAACCTATAGATGCTGGTATCATTGCATCATTTAAGCTTTATTATCATCAAATGCAACTTCAACGTGCAATTGATCGTGACAAAGCTGAAGAAAATGACATATACAAGGTTGATCAATTACAAGCTATGAGGTGGATAAAGATTGCTTGGGATGAAGTATCTGCTAGAACAATCAAGAACTGCTGGTTTCACATGAAAATTGTATCTTCCTGTGATGAAGATGGAGCACCGGTTGTCTCACCTTCTTTTGTTGAAGACGTAGAAAAAACCCCATTTGTTGATCCTGATAATGAATTAGCCGCCAAGAAACTTCAACAAACACTAGATACTTTATATGTTCATAACCCAATACCAATTAAAGATTTGTTAGAGCTTGAAGAAAAAATAGAAATACATCAAGAATTTAATGATGAAAGTTTTATCCAAGCCGCTACAGAAATAAAAAATGCAGAAAATGAAATCACAGTACAACCCTTAACTAGAAAGGAACAGTTAGATATTTTGCATGGTGCTCTGAGAATTGTTGATAAAAGAATTGATGACGGTGGGATCACAATGAAGTCTTTGCGCAAACTCCAATCGCTTATCCGTGAGGAGATCTGAAGAGAAGAAGCTGAGAAACAGGTCCAAACTACACTGGATCAATTTTTTCAAGCCTAAATGATAAATAGCATAACATATTAATTTTCAAATTAAAACAGCTTTGATTTTTTTTATTTAAATGCGATTACGAAAAAAAAAATTGCAGGTAAGATCTTTTTAAAAAAATTATAATTTTATATAACTCACCTTCACTATAAGGTCGTAGCAGACAAAAGTATCATTAATAAATAGTTAATTACTTGTTAGTGAATATAGTGAATAAATTTTTACGCATGTATGTATATACATACTTTGTGTTTACAATAATGATAACGATAGTATGTACAGTACGTACGTATGTATGTACGTTCGTAAGAAATTAAATTATCACGTGAAACATCAGTAAATTTCATGCAATTTGATTGGATACACATCATGTGATACTTACCGGAAAATCAGAAACTTAGATTTTGTGACTATCGGATATTGGAAATAGCAGGTTATTGGATATTAATTATGGAATGAATATAGTGGATTAATTTTTAACCGATTATAGCAGGTTATCGGTTTTGACAGAATCGGTTTTGAGAGGGTCGACTATATATAGTGTAACAATATTATAACATAAAAGTTTATTAATAAAAATTATCTAACTTTCCCAATTTTGAAATTATATGTAAATCTGTATTACAAGCAACTTTATTTGGCATATAAAAATGGTTTTACAGTTGATCTTTAGTATAGATGGACATATATAATTATTAAATAATTATAATATATATAATTTAACTATTTTGATCTAATTTAAGTAATTTTATAAATTATTAGGGTCAGGGTTAAGGTTAGATTTAAATTAGTTTAAATTAGTTAGGTTTTATATATTATAATCTTGTAATAATTTATATATGCCCACCTATACTAAAGGAGATCCGGTTTTATTTAGAATAAATAACTATTATAGTTACTTTCTTACAGATAACAAATACGAAGATATCTTGCTGAATACTGATCAGAATCAAATAATTTTTATACCATTCAATTTGTCTCAATAAGACGAATCGAATGGTATAAAATCATTTAATTACAACTAATAGAATACAATATATTGCCAACTATCTAATTTATTATTGTACCAAAATTTTTAAATATTTAATCGAGCTGAATAAGATTTTTTTTAATTATGTAATAGTAAACATATTTCTCATATATAGTATTATGTTCTATTTCTTAGTTCAGTATCTAAAAGAATAAAAAAAATAAAAGTATAGTTGTCAAATCTTTTTGTAAATTTACTTTAAAGACAGCAAGCCAATTTTAACAAAAATAACAACTCTTAAACTACAATATATAACAACTATAAATACAAATCTGAATAAACAGATAGCATAACAAAAAGATCTGAATCTAAATAACATACAACATTGAAAAAAACTCTAAATTACCAAGCTAAAAAAAAAAAAAAAGATTAAAACTAGATTAACCATAAGTAAAGAGACAAAATTTTAAAGATTTTTCAGATCTTATCTATTTCGTCTGAAAAAGTTAATTATGATAGATTATTGACTGATTATGAAGCTACAGATTCTCTACTTTTTGTGTATAAGGTTATTAATTGTAGTTAAATAGCACGAAAAGTCAGAAGACTTTGACAAAAAAAATGTAATTATAAGCCAATCATTGCTTATGAATTTTCTGTAGAATGTTTCAGAATCAATATTTATATTTGGTAAAATCCCTAACTGTATTAAGTTTAGAATAGGTTTTAGGTAACTAAATATAAGCAAAATTGCCTTTCTAACATTTTTGATTAACTTATCTGAAGCAGATTTAGACTGCTATTTTTTGTATTTTTCAGGTTTTTGGTTTTTATTTTTGGTTTGCTTTGCTGACGATTATCAAAATTCTATAATTTGATTGGTAGTTAATCACATGATTTATCTCTACTTTAGATGTTCTTCTAAAAAGAAAATGGCTAATCAGAATGCATAAAATTTGACTGTTCTGGATCAGACCAATATAAATTTCAAATACGTGTAAAAGAAAAAAAAGCAAAAATACTTAAAAACTAGTGTTTAAATCACCTTGGTACATTAATTAAAAATGTCAAAAATAAAATTTTATATATAAAAAACAACAATCTATTGTTATAGCTACTAATGTTAATAATCTAACCCTAAACTTTATCTTTATATTAGAGTTCAACATACTTAACACATGCCTTGTGCCTAACATTTTTACTGCTAGCACTTTGTGGCTGTAACTATTTTCACTTTATGCTATAAAGTTTTTTTATATACACAGACACCTATAGGCATCTATAAGCACAAATTACCTAACATAAAAATAGTTCAAACTTACATAAATAAAACTTTACATCTTTGTAGACATGGCACAAAAGTGTTACCTAAAATTGCCTGGTGCCTTTGTACTTATTAGTATTGGCACAGCACAAGGCACTAGTGCCTGGCATGATGCCTATATGCCAGCACAAGCATTTGCAGACTTCTACTTTATACACTTAGTTTATTTACAAAATTTAATTATTTTTTTGGTTTATGTTATTTGTTCAAATAAGTAAACTCTTAGCAGACTACCAAAATCTGTTATATATTGCTTTTTAAAATATAGGATCTTTGCTAAGAATTTTTTTCTTAAAATAGATCTATTATGTTTTTCTTAATAAAAATCTTATATAACAATAACTTATAGAATCATTTTGCTAGCAAAGATTCTATATAAAATCTTGTAATCTAGCAAAATTTTTATTATATAAGATATTATAATGATAAATTTAAAATTTTTTATTATTAGGTTTAGATTGCAAATAATTATATTAATATAGCATTGTATCTGAGTTTTTAATCTTAGTATCTTCTGGATATGATGCTTAAATATCAGTAAATTTTTTTTGAAAATTTGCATTAATTGCTATCAGCAGGATTATTTGTTAATGATTTTTTATATGATATATATTAATTATTAGCTATATATTATTTATATTACTAATGATATATATTAATTATAGTAAGAAAAGAGACAGAAATCAGGTGATTTCTATTTACTAAGAGGCTATACCTCCCACTCCTACCTAATTCAAATATTAGCCAATTAAATTTAATTATTATAATATATAATCTGATTAATCTACAAACTCTACACCTCCTAAAAAATCAGGTGATTTTTGTCTCTTATCTTATATAACAATATATATTTTTATCGATTATTAATAATTATTGTCACAGCTGATGCTGAAATTGGCTGATATTGAAATTTGGACCTATTTTGATACAAAATTTTAAACAAATTTTGAGATGTTTTTTTACTGCTTTTTTTTATAGTTAGGTTAAGATTTAGGGTTAGAATTTATAATTAAAGAGTATATATGGATTCTAACAAGGCTTATATTTTAAAATTGGATCTCCAAATTTTAGCATCAGCCAATTTCAGTATTAGCCGTGACAATTATTATAAAATTTGATAAAGGGTGTGATGACTTAATATAGTTGGTAAGTTAATAGCCAGTTGAGGAGTTTAAAGGAAATAAAACTAAAATAAGTTCTAGATTTTCAGAGAAGGCCAATCATCATCAAGAAACATTTTTTAGAGTATATATCAATTGCAATTCTCTAGTTTATAATCAATATATATTATCTTTACTGAGTTATGTTGATTATAATATATAATGATATATAGTAAAAATTAGATAAATTTTATCAAACTTTAATATAGAT